AAAATCATATATTCTTTTAATTAATATAATATAAATGTAATAAAATATTTAATATATATTATCTCTTATTAAATGCTTTATCGAAGTTTTGATCGATATCTTATCGATATCTTAGATAGTTACAGACAAGGGATCGCACTTGGACATTCGTCTTCCTACGATTAGCGCTGGTTTAGGCATCACCAGCGAGTATAGAAGTCCTCGAGCTTACAGACAAGCACAGATCCGCAAGAAAGAAACTAAACCGACATCTAATAACGGTATTTATTATCTAATACAGTAAATCAAATTAAATAATCCACACAAATTATTCTTTTAAAAATCTGTATACTAATTAAAACAAAAATTATCTATTAAAATATATTATCATATTATATTGTATTAATATTAATTGATTGTTATATTGATTGATTGAATTTTAGTTAGCAGCATCAAGTCCAAAGAACGTGCGATGAATAATCTGTCGAAGAAGGGCGCACCGAACATGGAACCCCTTCCGGAACTGCCGTCTTGCGATGATCTTGCCTCCAGCGGTGTGGAGAGCTGGTTGGATTCCTCCAGCAAGTATCACAGCTGCGAAATCGTCGACGAGGAATAGCATTACGCCTCCTACTCGAATTACGAGAGTTTGATCGGCGACGCCGAGGACGCCGAAAACGATATACAATTCTTCGACTACAAGAACACGGAATGTTGGAGACCATACGACGATTAACGATAAAAAAGGTGGCGGTAATTAAGAGCGTACGCTTTTACTTCCGTTCAACGCGTTTACACTGTTGGACTTTAATAAAATCGTCAAGACGGTTTAAAGTATTTAATACCAAAAATCTCATAATTAGACATTTCATTAATTTTTGCTAGTAAATTCATCAACAGCAACAGGATTCATCAAAGAATATATACCCACTAGCTGCAATATTGTAGATATATTCTGTAGATTTGTTGCCCAGCAACGAAATTTGCAACGAAAGCACCTTTCGAAAAGTATGCATGTAATGTAAATTTAATGCTTTGTATATATTTGTAAATATCAAACTTGACGACGAATTTGGAGGATGGAAACTCCGAGGGAAAAAGAAATGATGTGCTTACGAAAATATTTTAATTAATTTTCGGAAAAAGCGAAAATGTTGAATAAATTTAATATTTATAAGCAAATGCACATAAATGCGCCTATAAAATTTTTGTAAATATCAGGATCGATCGAACGATCGAGCTAAGAAAGAAAAAATCTAGAATTTCTTACTAAAAAAATTTTTACGAAAAATGTAAGTAAAATACTTACACATAACATATTTAATCAAATTTTAAAGCGCGACATATTTATAATTAAATAAATAAAAACAGAACAATATAGTATTCAACAAAAAGCGTCTCGTTAATCCCAACATTCTATCGATGACTTTTATTTTATCTTTCACGATCTCCTAGATATCTCCCCCCCAAAAAAATGGAATCCAATGTAGAAATAAAAAATAAATTTTTATATATATTTATAAAAATTGTATGTATGTGTTATTATTAATTTTATGTTGTTTTTGCATTGTTCTAATTGTAATTGTAATTACATTGTCAAATTCTCCAGGAAATATATTTTTTTAAATCTTTTTAATAAATTTATATTTTGTTATAAATATGTTGACCATAAAAAGAGTCAAGTTCGAGCAGAGAAGAAATCGCGTATAGAAGAAATCTATAAGCAAGAAGGGAAAAGAAAGAGAAAGAGAGATAGAAAGAAAGAAAGCCCCTGCTAGTAGTGGAAGAAAACCGTTTAAAGGACTTTCCAATAAGACTCACAGCAGTCGCTTCGGCTTCCCCATAAAAAGGGTTAACAAGCGGTGGTGCCACCTACGCGGAGGGCGTGGCGCTAGTTCCAAGGGTGGTTTAGTGTCGCGAGAGCCCCCAGAGGCGCATCATCGCACGGAACGCAACCCCCGGAGTGTACAGTTTCGCGCCCTCGGATCAGGGTGGCTAAGAGCGAGAGGGACGCGCGCTTGAGCGATCGAGCGAGCGCGAGGGGGTTGAAGGTGGGCAGGTGGGCAAAGTGAAGAAGGGGCGACGAAGAAGGGGTGAGAAAAGCTCCGCTTGGGGGTGACCGACGAGAGAGCAAGGCTGGCGTACTCCGCGCATACATCGCGAAGATTCCGCGGAGATTCCGCGCGGAGATGAACGTACGAGTGGTCGCCGTCCTGTATGCCTCGTCCTCCCTTCGATGACGCCGTGTCCTTGCTGGACAAGGAGAATCCCGTACGGAGAACAGGAGAACGTCACCGCCACCGCCACCATCGGCAGGACGAAGGACACATCGCCACCGAGGACCGCTTTCCATCGCTCCTGGCGGCAGTGACCATGGCGCCAGTTCTGCTGTGTAAACAGTACTCCAGCGAAGGATACGATCCGTTCAGATTGATGATGCTGCCGCTGCGCCCTTGCTGACAAGCGGATGGATCGCTTCTGACGGAACATCCGGTAGGTTGAGAACAAGGGATGCTGGTGAGAGAGAGAGAGAGAGAGAGAGAGAGAGAGAGAGAGAGAGAGAGAGAGAGGGAGAGAGAGAGAGAGAGAGAGAGAGAGAGAGAGAGAGAGAGAGAGAGAGAGAGAGAGAGAGAGAGAGAGAGAGAGAGAGAGAGAGAGAGAGAGAGAGAGAGAGAGAGAGAGAGAGAGAGAGAGAGAGAGAGAGAGAGAGAGAGAGAGAGAGAGAGAGAGAGAGAGAGAGAGCGTGGGAGAGAGAGAGAGAGAGAGAGAGAGAGAGAGAGAGAGAGAGAGAGAGAGAGAGGAGGGGGAGGGAGAAGAGAAAAAGAGAGAGTGTCGAGCAGATTCCAAAAAGCTGAGAAGAGAGTGTTGACGATGATCTTATTTTTGGTGGCGTATGATCACGTTGGAGGTTGATGGAGAATCGCGAACAGAGAGAATTGATAAGCGTGATGTGTGAATGTTATTGATCAATAATATGATGAGAACACGCATCTCTCGCAGAGACGCACGGTTGTTGACTCGCGTGAGACTGTAGGTTGAATCGGCGATTGTACCCCTTATTCGCGTAAATTGTTCTAATCTCGATGTAGTAGCAAGAATTTCTTTCTAGAAAGCTCCAGAGTTTTAGAGAGAAAAATGAATAATATCTGATTGCTATTGATCCAAAGTGATGCATTTGAGATGTGTATGCGTGTATATGTATGTATGTATGTGTGTGTGTGTGTTGTTGGCTCTTAAATATTATGACAGAAAAAAATATTTTTTAATTTGACCATTTTAATAAACAAATTTAGAAAAATTGATTCCAATTGGTCTGTAGCTGATGCAAGAAAACATGATGTTTTAATTTACGAAACGTTTAAAGGGATGATTCGCATTTAAAGGTTTTCACGAGAGTTACGAAGAATAATAGTTGTTTGAGTTGACAGCATGTCGCAATCAGTAGAACTTAATTGAATTACGACTAAAACACTTCATAAACAATTATTATTAATGAGAGTGGAATGTCTATTCGTCTTGCTGTCTGTACATAGTGAGTTGCTTTGTAATAACGATTTGTAATAACGACGAGAATAATGTGACAATTATATAAAAGAGTGATAGGGTTTTGTGATAAAATAATAATACTTTCTCTCATTTGGCAAAGTTATATTCTGAAATTATTTTAAATTAATAGAAGTTTGAACTGTTTTAAATTTAAACTCAAATTAATTATATAATATGCATTCCCCCAAAGCTTTCAATGAATTTTTAACAGTAATTTTAGTCTTCTCAAAAACTTTAGTTTAAATTAACCGAGAAATAAAATTCTGATGTTGATTTATTTCGACAAATACACGATTCGGGTGTTCAAGAAATTTAAATTTAAATTTAGATTAATTTAAAAAAGAAATGGATTTTTTATGCTCGTCCATTTGATAATTTTTTATTGCGTGAAAGACTATAAAATTTAAACATTTATTGGAAAAAGATACTTTTTCGCGGTTTATCAATTATAAATTCTAATTCAAATTAATGACAAAGTAGCTGGCGCTTATAATCACTTCGCGCGAGTTAATCAGGAAAACTCTATTAACTCATCTGAACTTTGTAATACCAAGAGAGACAAGATTGTGACACTTTATCTTTTATTTTTTTAATAGTTCGATGAAGGATTTTCATTGATTCCCGCAAATCGTGTAATGTTTCAGGCATCTGCGACAAGGCCGCGAAGAAAGCGAAGAAACGTTTCGTTAAGATAAATTACGGCAGACTCACGATAATTATTGTGACTCTATTTGTGGTGAGAACTGCGTGAGAGCCTTTCCTTGCGTGGCAAGCTTACCGAGGTCAAAAAGTTAATCGGTTGCGATGGTGTCGCGGGCAATGATGTTCGTATGCGTCGCGAATTTCGACGAGGACAGAGGAAGCCCAGCGTCTTCGTGCTCGCTGTTGTCGTCGCATACCCACAGTAGATTGAGGTGTATCATCCTGCACTTCAAAAGACATATCGCTTATCCACCATAAGGTAAGAACATAGAGGATATTAGTACATAAATTAAATAAATCACACAGCATGGTAACAATTGAGTCATTCGATTGAAATTAAGAGATCGTACTGCATGCAATTGAAACATTAGATGTAAGCTGCAAATAATGAAAGAATACGTCTTTTTGCAAAAATAAAAAGTCGCGTTACAAGAGAAATTAAATACTTCTCAGTCATTAAGATCTCTATCTCTTATGTAATAATCTCTCTAATCGTGGTCGTGCTCGCGTTGTCTCGACGCAAAAAAAAAAAAAAAGAATTAATTGTGACATGCGACGTTAGAGCATTTACCTGTTGCTTTACGTTCGTGCAAAGAGGCGACGAGACTTGCAAGTAACGGGCCGCTAACTTCGTAATTCGTATAACAATTCTGTGAACATTATCTTCTAAGTATTTAAGAAAAACCAAGAAGAGTAATATTTTATTAAAAGAGAATGCTTTTAATTCTGAATTGTGCAAACTTAATTGTGAATGTATCAAATGTATAATTTGATTCTCATAATATAATATCAGTATACATAAATTTATAATCTAATTTAATAAAATAGTCATAATTTATAATTCAATTTGCTCTCCACGCAATCAGATTTGATTATAAATTATTATTAGTATAATATCGTGTTTTGAATAAATTTAGCATTTTATGTTTATACAACTGCTCATTTTGTATGTATACATGTGCGATACGCTTTTGAATCTCACGATATGACGCAACATTCATATGTTGAATGCAACTGCATGTAAGCCGTGCATCAATATTTTTTATTTCGTCGGACAAACAAGAAAAGACCAAAGATACGCCTCGTTACGAGCTGGAATTTAAATTCGAATTACGTTTCGATCAAACTGGAGGCAATACAGTTGATTCGCCGACACGTGTGTCGCAGTGTGTAGCGGCCTTTGAGGAGGGTTGCACGTAGTAGACCGCGTGGTTCCTCCGTCGCCGTCGAAAGGGTCGATAGCCCTCTCTCTCTTCGCACAGCGCTCGCGCCAACCCCACGCGCCACATTATAGACAGTTGCTTTCAGCTGTTGGCTGTTTACTAAGGGAAGAGGCTGCCACATCGGAGCATTGTACACCATAGTCATCGGCATTCGTGATTTGGAAAATTAATTCTCTTCTCTCCGATGCAGTATCATTGATACGCGTTATTCGAAATCGTTTCGATATCGAATCTCGTAAAATTCGAAGATTTTTTTGCACAATCCTGTATTTATTTCTTTTCCCTTGTGTCTTGGGGTTAAGATTGCTACTTTATATGATAAGTAGTATCGTGCTTCGCAAGTCGGATAGAATTTTACGCTCAGCTGTGGCAATTGGATTTTACTACCTGTCTGAGTAGCAAGCCCTTCATTGCTCGCTTAAGTAGAAAAGGACTTGTGTATGAGATAAAAGGCGATTTTCTCAACATCAAGTGTTGTTAATGCAATTAATCTATAATACAAATAAAATGTTGATAATCTTGCACTTGAGAAAAATAGTTTATAGTTGATAATTATAATAATGATGCATAGAAGACGAGAAAAGAATAATAATTTCATACATGATTTTGATCTACTTATGAAGTAATCGCGAATTTTAGACGCTCGAGAGAATCGCATGAAACAATTTATGTGCGATGGATTCGCGCACGATAAACTTGACGGGGCAACAAGTGTTTCCGGCGCAAGTCCAAACGTAAGCCCAATATATTCCAGTGAGGATCTTCATGACTTGGCAAACGGCATTTTTGCAAGAATTAAGATTTACTTACATTTTTTGCTATTTCTTAAATTTTGTATCACTATTTTTCATTATTGAATCTAAAATCTATTATATGGATCAATCATTAATTTCCAATAAACTTTGTTGTAGGAATAATAATTTAATACTTTACATGTTTTTTAATATTTTAATTAAAAAAATAAAATGGTAAAAAATAATAATAAGTGACCGTTTCTATTAAATAATTAATCTCTAATTATTCTTCTAATTTTGATTCTATCTAATCTTTTCTATTAAATCTATTTTATTCTTCTAATCTTAAATATAATTCTTAGCGCGGTTTTTTGAAACTTAAAATCAAAGATTATTTATCTATCAAGTCACCATAAATTTCCAAACAATATTGCATATACTGATAAAGCTACAGATAAAATAAATATAATAATATTCAATATAAAGAGAGATAAATCGCGAATTCAATAGCTCATGGGGAATCCCGATATGGTCGGGATTTGGCGAGCCATTTTCATGGAGAGCATAAGAAATAAGTAATTCCATCAGCATAAATTGAATTGATCGATCAAGCGTCGCAGTTTCTGTCTTCTCTGACTTGTCGGTTACCATTTTAGTGGGATTCGAGGGATAGGAGAGTAAAGGGTTGGCTTTGGACCCCCCCGATATGCGGCTTTAATCTAATTCGAAAGCTGTCCGACAAGCCACCGCAGTCCATCGTAAAACGAATCGGGAGTGACAGAATGTGTTCGCTCGGCAATCCCAGGGTGATTTCAGAATGGTCACGTAACGTTATCTTTGTTGAATTTCAGTCATTTGTCTCATTTGCATTTTTATTGCCTTTACTTTAATCTTTTTGATTGACTTTATATCAGATAATAGAATGATAAAATTAAGTTTTTAAGCAAACCTTTGCACATTAAGATTTTCTTTTATAATGTATACATATATTATAAATATCTTTTTTCTGCATGTTTATATTTATAGTATGCGCAATTTAAATATCTATGATTAAATTTATTCCGGATTTAAATATTTTCGATTTTTTTAAAATATCCTGCAATTAGTGGAAGCGAAATCAACGTTTCCTATATCGTAAGCCGACATCTTCGAGGTCGGAACAAAGTGGCAAACGGAAGTAAAATCTCAAGGAAGCTTGTCGTCACGCAAGCCATATCTTGCCCGTCGACAAGATTATTTTCATATTTTCAGGAGACCCAATTTACATACGGACTCACGGCATAAGTAATAAAAGAAAGCATATCGGTTTCTTCGTTTTCCGCCAATATGTTATCGATGCTAATTTGTTGGCTCTAATCGAGAGAAATTAATTAGCGTAATTCGAACAGAAAGGCGATAAAAAAAAGCATAGCGTTTAAATCAATATATAATGTATGCACCATTTGATCTTCTGAAATACTACTTTGTTCTTTTACTTAATCATTGACCTTTCGCCAATTTTGATTTTTTTTAAATAAAATTATAAATTTTTAACACAAAAATTAAATCTAAAGCAAAAAAAAATGTAACATGCAGTAATTCAAAATAGTCGAGATAAATAAGACACTTAGCGCATATCGTGCATAATACACGTACAAATATGTTTGAATCGCGTGACTCTAAGATTACTATGCATTTCTCTTTATCACCGATCCTTCGTGAAACTTTTTTTCCGAAAACTCTTTGCAGAAAAGATCAACCTTTTCAAATCCGAGGCATTGCTCGAATAAAAATTCGACACGTCATAAATGTGCAAGCTGCACACGTTGCAGGGCGGCATTTAGAGCCTAGCGTAAATCACCACACCCTGTTATAATGTCACGTGATTTACCCTGACCCAGCCGAGCCCACATAGAACCCGCGAATAAGTCTTCTGGGGCGATAGTGAGCACGGCCAGTCACGAAAGCTTCTTCTCCGCCTTCGTCCTTAATTAGCATACGAGCTAAGTCGATACAGCGGCACGATGACCTTGAAACTTTTCCTCTGTTTGTAAGAGACATCTTCGGCCAATTTGCTCGTTTCGTGTGAATTGCCTCTGTAACGTAACCGAGTGAATCAAACGATCAACACGAGCTGGAATACAATGTAGATAACATCGCGCGATAGCAGAGAAATTTTAAAATCTCTTATGAAAAATAAATGAATAAAAACAAAATTAAATTTTTTAAACTTATAATAATCGCAAGATTTATATATAGAAAATCAGTTTATACTTGTAATATTTTTTTATGCAATTGTATATATGAAAACGCAACTATATGTATAAACGAATTAATGCTACATATATATATGAAGTATTCTAAAATAAATATACATTTTTGTCTTCACGCAATTATTTATAACATAAATTAAAATTTTAAATAGAGAAAGATTATATAATAATTAGAATATTTTTCTATTCAATCTTTTTATGGAATATATATCAGGATAATTGGAATTTACACGGCATAACAACCAGATGCAACAACTGATGAAATCTGTAGTTGAAATCTCGCCTGTAAAGCTGACTATCTCTGGCTACTTCGCGTTTCCGTTTGCGAGGAACGGCTCACGTCACAGAGAGATTTAAGCAAAAGGATATCAAGATATGATCAAACTTGTATCGCGGCGCGGTCTAAGTCGCGAATTAGGATTTGCATAACGAAACGAAGTAGCCGCCCTTGCAGCAGACAGACGTTAACTCTTTAGGGATCGCACGAACGCGAAATTAAGTTAATATGTTTAGGGAAAACTAGACTGTATCATGGATATAAATCAAGCTTTAATAGTATAATGGTTTGCCCTAGATGTAATTATTATCTCCAGAATTCGCAATGTAATACGACCTATATAATCGCTATTTTTAATACAAATTCTACATTGACTATTCGGAGAATCTTGGTCGTCAATTTATAACTCTTTTGAGACGAGAAAAATATCTCACAAAAGAGGTACTTATATTCGCATGCACTCTTTTACGATATGGCACAAATGTTGCAAAAATAGAGATGAAATTCTTATTCATAAAACGGAATATTTAATTAAAAATAGTATTTTCTCTTTTAGACATAGATTCTGAATATATAATCATTTTTCTATTTTGCAATTAAATATAAAAAATATTAAAAGAAATGATAAAGAAAAAATACAGTCGGAATCCTCCGATTATAGTTATTCACGAATATTCACGTTTCCTACGATCCCTGTGATCAGTTTACACCTATTGTACGGTAGTTGAATCAGGCCGGAAAG